TTTTTAAAAAACTTTATGATTTTATGGGTTCTGACTGTCTCTCTCTCTCTCTCTCTCTCTCTCTCTCTCTCTCTCAAGTTCTGCTAACATAGGTGGATATACCGTACATCACATGTATAACAATAGTGCTACGCCTGTCTTGAATGAATATTCGTATTTCTTCAAGTAGTTTTCAAGTGTTTTAGACTACACCACGCCCGAATACTTTCAGACCTTTTTAATTTTCCGTCATTTATAAACGAACATAATTCATTCGCATTTCTTTACTTTTGTTAAGGTAAATATTTAAAAAATGAATTCTGTGAAATAACACACGTAGAATACATGACACAAGATATCAACAGATGGAAATACAACAGACTCCGGATACCTCGTCACATCTTATTTTAAATTATCCTTTATCTCCAACAAATCTAGTGGATCAGATTTTTCCCTTTGGTGTTTTTTTTAGTTTAAAAGTATATGAACGTTGCCCACCTCAAATCTCTGCGAAACTTGAATAATTTGTTCTGTCCCCAAGTGCCAGAGTTTGCGCAATATACTGTACAAAATATGAATAGTTTCACAATTAAGTTACGACTTTCACCCAGTCATAAACTGGTGATAACATTGCCACTTTTTAAATAATTGTTTATAACGAACTCGACAAAAAAGCAATATTTTACGCAATATTAATGTGGAAAAACTACTAACAAAAAACAACGTTTCTACTGACATTAACATGTTCGGCGATTACTTAACTACAACATCACTTAAGCCTAAAACGAAATTAAAATCATGGTTGCCCGAGGCTATACCGTGAGGGCACCTAAGACTCATAAGTGGCAGCATCATATTATTTCATTATTTCCCTGCATGCCCTGAGCGTACCAACAACCCTACTGACATCAGCTCATCAACCATTAATTACAATAACAACGTGTTGGTTGCGTAAAACCGAACGTCGCCATAGCAGTACCCGTGAAAAGGTGCGCACGAACACGCTTTCATATTAACACACCTTCATTTATCTTTAAAACTTTAAAGTATCTGTCTATGATACACTTTCAAAATCGATCACGGATTGCCGACCACGCATCTGGGTGTTGAGGGATGAAATGGACAGCGTGTTGTGAAGAAGCAGTCTTCCAGGTCAGTGTTGTCAACCGGCTCCAAACAATACCTTTTCTCTTTTCACACATGGTATTTATCCACAGACAATGAACCTACCCAACAGCAAGCCATCCAAGTTGAATGATTTTCGCCTTACCCGAGGCATATCATATTATACTGAGGTAAAACCATCATCCTTGGCTGTATATCATATAGTGTGCGCTTCATTGATGTGATTATTAGTAAAATGCACGTGCTTTCCGTCCCTTCCATCTTCATCGTGCTCTGTCCCCAGTGTCTGAAGCGCTATCCAGGAGGACTCCGCGGAGCTCTTTGGACTGGGCACCTGCACTGCCACGTTCTGACATGACTGGGGGTGGCACATGTCGTTGTCCACGACAATTAATACTCGACGTGGTGACGGTGAAGATGATGCATTTGGTTCTGTGGATGAAATTATCGGAAAGAATATTTAAAGATAATAACTAACTTCTTTTAAGATGGTTCAACCGTGATGAAAGCGATGTGAAGGATATAAATGCGTTAAAGTCACCGTTGGAGGTCTGAATATAGGCAACCATATTTTTATTTATTTTGCATTTGAGCATTTGCAATTGTCGATATGCAATATTATCAAATCCACGTGTTTCTAGAGTTGCTGAAGGTAATACATGTATGAAACGGTTGCTGCCCGAATGCTTTATTTGCTTGCGCTTGTATCTACATTCTAAAGTTTTGACTCATATCATAATGTAGCATAAGCACCAAAAATCATTATAAATTTTTTTATACAAAAACAAATATGTACAACTTCATCACCCGCTCAATTCCAAATTAGATACTGAGGTAATTCAACTTTAAAACATTCTACCTGTCGGAAAACTACACTCCGTACTTGTTCCCATCTCCGTCCTGCAGTATTCTGGATTTTGTTTTAACTTTCTGCAGCCGTATCCACACACCAAAGCTATCACCACAAAGCCCACAAGGCCTCCAAATACGCTGCCTATGGCAACAACGATGGTTCCAACTGAAAGAAAACAATGTGATATGGGTTCAATGAGGCAAGTATGTTTTTCTACTATTTAACCCAAGCTTTTCTGCTATTTAAATNTCCGACAAAGTTCCTTTGGGTATTCTTTCCTTTGGGTATCCTTCTGAGATAACCATAATAAAAAACGTGCTGCGTCCAATGTAAAAAGCCGAAGTCGCGTTTTAATTAGTTGAAACTCATTTGTTCAATTTAGTCAATAGTCTTTGTGCAGGATTTACGTCCATAGTATTTAAATCTGATTCAAGATACATGTAAATATGTTGAATACATGTTTTAATTTATTAGTTGCAAGACCGAAGGAGTGTATCTTGAGTGATGTTACATGTAACTTTACCAATCATTATAACATTTTAACTGATATGTCAATATCCAGATAAACAATTCAACAATGTGACGGCCGCACTCGACCGATGGTCAATCAGCTGTACACATCCCCCATCCCCGGCCACCCTGGCCAACGCCCAAGTGATAGTACTGGGAGCCTGGGTCAAAACAGCCATGCAAGAAAACCCAGTGGCACGCATCAAAGATTGCACCAAAACGACGCCATCAAGATACTTCTCCTTTGTTCGTTATTGGGAATGACGTACCAATAACCTATCTGACTGCATTTTATTATATCATTTGTCCGTGACCCACCTTATGGGGATGCATGCCAGACCTCTCAACCTGTTACCTTTTCGCCTACATCTTTTACTGTGAAAGCTAAAGCCCATTGTCCATGTCAATCCGACTGTTTGACATATTTCAAAAGCAGTTTGTTCAATCAGACATAAAATTAAGAGATGCAATATACAAAAAGTCTTTTTTGTATGTCTGCCCAGGTTAGGTGGAATGATTTGTGCCCAGTGACCGTCAAGCTGGGTTAAATTGGTTCGAAGATCATAGCTACTCTACGTTTGGCAGTATGAAGTTTCTCATACTGTAGTGTGGACCATTAAGATATCTCTGTTCATGCGAAAACACACACACACACACACACACACACACACACACCAATATAATTGCTCATAGAGCAAGCAACTTGCGAAATTGCAAATTTGATTTTTTAAAACCCAAATAAATTAATAACATTAAAGAGTACACAAATGCGAATCATTTGCATTTTTTTATGTATGATACGTCATGTTTTAATGAAAATGAATGCAATATCGAAGAAAAATAAATTACTCGATCTTTTCAATGTGAAAAGTTGTGAAATTAACAAATAATGAACTTTTTTAAATCATAAATTCTTAAAATTAGAACACTTCTATTGAGTGGTAGCGACATAACTGAAAAGCGGGCTACCTTATAGTTCTATTTTACTCAGAAAAACACGACAGATGCTACACAGAAATTTATAATTAAATTAAATTAAATTAACAAGCTGTCTTGTTTGGTCGCTAGTGCTTAGTAATGGACATTGCAACACTTTTTTCAGCAGTCATGAAAGCAACTGTGTTTTGACACAGGTCTAAAAAAAACCATCCATTGTCTTAAATTACATACCTAGGGATTTCTAAACATTCGTATTGGTCATCTATCACTGTCTTTGAGGCATTCAGCCTCTTTTACAGACATTAATGATGACAAAACATCAGTTTTTTTTACACATGAACAATAGCTATGATCGTTATGAGAATCTAATTAGTTCATTCTGGGTTTAGATATAATTTTTCTACAAAAAAGTATGAAACGAAAATCTCTAAGGTTGTGGCCTCTGAGGCCGGACATTTTTCACTACAAAAAAAAAAAAAAAAAAAAAAAAAATTCCCGACTGGCATCTGGTATGAAGTACTTTCGAAATTACTGAATAGTATACTGTACAATCAATGCGCATTTGTCCCTTCCTACAAAAGCATAAGAATTTCCAGGGAACTGAAACTGTCTACATAAAACTGCTCGGATAATTGCGACCGTACTTGTTTTCGCGTTCAACATATTAATTTTCACGTAATGCTTAATAGCGTAATAACAGAAACCCAATAACTCACTAATTCCCCCTTCCCATGAATCAAAAATGGAAACATAAGGCTCATATACGTATTTATAGATCGTAATTCTATCAATATATTTGGATATGATACATGTTATTGTACATCTTGTTGGTTAAAGAGTGAGTGTAGAAATTCCCAGGCTGTATAGAGGACTGTTGCACTGGATTTGTACGTAGTGCACATTGGGGTCTGAAAACTAAAATGTGTTAGATGAGCTTAAGAACGACAGATGCATTCCGTGTCCGTTTTCACATCGAGAAGTTTACTTCACCGATGCAACCCGCACTGGTTCTTTCAGAGAACTCCTAACACACTTCAGAGGGTTTTACTCCCTTTCACAATCACTCTGTTAGTTTGCTTTCAGCGGTTTAGTTTTTAGTCGATCAATTGGTCGAGTTGTGCGCGGAGATTCCGTTGAGGTGACTCTTCTACATAATGATCATGGTATCAAGATGTCAGTCTCTTAGAGTGGACTGGTCCAGATTGGATCAATTAGTACGCTGCTAGATATGAAAAGGATATTACATGTAGAACTTCTTCTTCAAACCATCCCCTTCCCCAACCGATAAACAGCTAATTAATTAATTTGGGTGTGACGCACGCAAGGCCAGTCTTGTTATAAACGATGTCATTTTGAAGGAGCAGCAAAAGAATGGAATGCACGTCACTACTACTACATATACTAAGAAGATGAAGATTTATCTTTGTACAGCAGCCTAATAATTAATACAATTTTGAAATGACCGATGTCGTTCCTGCTAGATTAAACCAGGTCATTACGACCATTAGCAAAAGTGAATTTGTGTGTTCATAGGAAATGAAAAACATCAACATCAGGCTTCTATAATAATACATAGCAAAATTTATTTCATCATTATATCATGTATATACAAAGCTATAGAATAACATACATTATTTTTATGTACATCTGTTTCATGGTAGAACGCTGGGCTGGCCGAGCGTCACAGCAATGGTCAACTTAAAATGACCACATATAATTCAGCGATATAGGCCTACGCACATGAAAATTCCGTTTTGAGTTTTGACCATGCAGCGTTATTTACCAGTTCGGATGGACCTGATGTTCGCCTTTCTGTCTTCGGGATACTTATCTTTTATCCTTTGCTACCTTGACTTTTTACAATACCAGACAAATAATACAAAGAATTTAAGAGCACATAGTATCAAGACAGATTTAAATACTCATACTAGATATCATTTAAGCAAACATTATAAACATTATATTTAATTATAATAATAATAATAATAATAATAATAATAATAATAGCAGTCAAAAATCCGGCATGAAACCAACCAATGAAATCCTTTGTTTGTTGTTTACTTGCCAGCTCTGTGCTGTCTACAAGGCTATCAAAACTATAGTGCTTAGAAGATTAGCCTTCTTATTTACAAATAAAAAGAGATCTAAACCAAAATGTTGCATAACTCGTAAATAATGGGCTACAATATTTGAATATCATAAGTTTATAGAAAAGAAAGAAAGAAAAAAAACAAGGCCAGCTGCCCACTCGTTGGTCAACTTTGTGAAGCGGCCTAATGAAGAAAAGCTAATCAAATCTATCGTATACAGTCAATAGTGCTGGTCAAATTGAAGGCGTGGAGAGGTCATTGATCAGATACATTGCCCAGTCTACACAGCAGACGGAACCTGGATAGGCTTTTACATTCGTCCCATATACTAACCCCAATACTCTAACTAACCCTAACCTGTACTTATCATATGGGAGCCCGGACTTCCATTCCTATAGAGCTGCCATTTATGTCACACCGGCTTCTAAATAGCTCAAAGCCGTTACTCATAAAGGTGAAATCTGGATCGATTCTGGACCACCTTCAAGCTGGTTTGATACATAAGTTTATAAGTTTATTTCACGTCGGTTGGTACATGTACGATGTAGGCTTACTTAACTGAAGGAAGCAAGATTCGTTCTACACATTATAGCATTTATTTTAATAGGATATTTTCAAACAATGAGCACTGGCCGATTACAATAAAAATTGGATCATACATGTATTGTGGGGCCATCCACGACATTACCACCTCCTGCGACCTCCAAATCATCTTTGATGTGTATGATTTATTTTTATTTTCTATTCGATTCACTTACATCGCAGGTTGTCAGGTAGTTGCTGTAAATGATGAAACGGTCTTTATGGATGTTAGAAGAGGCTCAATTAAATAGATTTAGCACAGATGCAATGGCAACAGAAATCATATGACCCATCGTTTTGAACGGGCAGAAAGCAATGGCAAAAGTAAACTAATTACAATCCTGTGATTGCAGTAGATGATACCACTAATGTAATAACCAGCCAATTATCTACACGCTGACTCAAAGTCAGGCCGTGGGCTGCTAAGGATGTCGTGAAATATCTTACATCGTTTGCCTGTACGATTATTGTCTATCACCGCTCTGCGTCTGAATGGCAGTTTCTCTGTCTCGTTTCTGGTACGTTGCTGCCATATCCGTACGAGTCAGCGTGGCTGTCTGCATTGACCATAGCGGAACAGCGGCCGCCAGATCGCAGACAGTTATCTGAAGGACGCGTATGCCGATTTTTAAGGAGTAGCCGTAAATCCTCTATCACTAATAAATGGCGGATTTGCACTATTGTCACGTAAAATGCAATATACAAGTATAAATCTCAACTATCACAACCGCAAATTTGCATCAGAACGTTCCGTATCCCTCAGCGACTCGTGGCGAAACTTAAAATTAACGCAAGAATAGCACAGTACGTAGACAACACAGAACATGCACAACCCGAATCAACAGAATAGTCTTGGACGGTCGCTTTTTGTTCTACTTCAGCTAGGCATTTGCGTAAAGGCGGTTGAAATGACGTTGGTCTGTTGCTAGGTGACGACGGTTGCGCGCCGTCACTTGGACGTTGTCCTAGGTAGAGTTCGGTGCTCCGGTGGGTCGTTTCCAGCTTCAGTATTTCATATTCCACGTACGGCACCGAAACGCCAAGTCGGGTACACCCGCCCGTGTCTTGAACATCTTGAAATGCTCCGGTCTCCCACTTTCCAGGTATCCCGCACGAGCCCACGGGCTCGGCGTTCAGATTGTTAGCATATGTCTGCGTGTCAGGCCGAATCTTCATCACGGTGACGCTGAACTTAAACTCGCGCGCGCCCGGAACTTTCGCCGAGGGACCCTCGTTCGTGAAAGTCCCGCTAGCTGAGAGGGTGAAAGACGGCTCAGCGCACAGGGGATCGGTGAAGTGACTGTAGAAGCCATGCCACGTGGAGTCTTCCAGGTTGAAGTGAAGGCGACGCTTGACGAAGATGGAGTTTGGACGGGTCTCACATCGCGTACTGATCCAGTCTCCATCGACCGTCCCTCTCTCCACGGATTTGACACGGAGACGGGGAGGCTCGAGCTCGTTGGTGAACTTCATTTTATCACAAAGGTGACAGCCGTAGCTCTGGAAAAGAGACATAAGTTTGGTTACAGGTGTCAGATATATACATTTAACCAAAACGACCCGAAAGAACATTTGCCTTTTATCTTTTTTAAATCTGTAATTGAGCATATTTTAATTTATACGTACTTGTAAAGGCGCCGTATATAATGGTGTATGTACACGTTCACCATATATGGTGACAAATTAAATAAATAAATAAATAAATAAATAAATAAATAAATAAATAAACATTAATTGGAAATTGGGTTTTTGTTGCTTGGTTAATAAGATCATTAACCATAATATCAAATTCAGTTATGGTCGGTATAACAAGAGAGACTATGAAACAATCTACTAGCATCAAACATGTCTTTTGTCCTTATTATTGCCCATGTTGAAGAGTTTCAATATTGACAAGATGTATTTTTACCAAGTACATGCTTTGCATCCACAAACCTGCATAATTAAGTCGATTACTGTACGTTGGCCTTATTTCAAAGATACTAGTGAATAAAATCGCGACGGCTGTTGAATTTGGCTTTTTTTTAGACAAGCAAACAGACAGTGCGTACAGAGTAGGTAGGGCGATGGTCTTCGATTACACTTCCAAGGAGACAGAAGACCTGAGGCGAAGTAAAAATAGCAAGGAGGATGCGGAGTTCTTTGTTTTTACATGTTCGAACGACATTTACATTTCTCGGTGGTAGGATTAAAACCTTGTTTGAGAGACAGAATTAAGTGGGAAATGGACTGTCTGGAATATTATACCCCTTTTAACCGAATCTGAAAAACAATTTGCTTTTCAATTATTAGACGCGATGACCCTGAAATCTGACCTTGTTCACCGAGCGTTCGTTAAATGACTATTAGTAATAACACACTGTCACAGAAAAGAGCAGGACGCCATGAATTTTTGATGATCAGAACCGATGACTATAATACCCGGGTCCGCTGTTACTATATAATGGCGTATATTCTGGATTGTTATTCGCATTTTGTTTAATACAGGGGCCTGGCCACTGCTGTTGCACTTCTGGAACGGACATGGATATTTTAGCGGCTCCTAATCTCGCGGGAATGCGCTCTTCTGGTCAACGTGACAAAAAGCAAGCAATCGAACAGTAGGCTCGTGTTTCTGATTTATTTATATAGCCATTAGCCATGTCTGAAGGCACACACATATCTCTAGATGCACGTTCTTGAATTTACGCAATTAATTCCAAACAATAAAATCCTTTACATCTTCGTCTGTCTGGCGGCACTGGGTGTCCAAATATAGCTTACCCCTACTGTTCGGCGCAATAAATGTTGTATTCAAATGAAAGGCTATATTCAAAATATTAGCAGAACTTCTTAAGCTTAACTCGTTAAGCAACTGTGACGTTTATACCCTACCGCGTCTGAAGAATGCAAAAATGCACAAACGTGACCTTTTGTATTGGATAGGGGATTGGACAGTTTGATCTGGTAATTTATCCACTCGTTTTTTTAAATATCATTTTACTGACACTTGGATTTGTTTGTATTTTATTTTAAGAAAAGCCGCTTATGTGGGAGTTATAACTGGTTCCTTTATTGATGATTTGTTCAGCCCAGCAACGGTTTCGCTCAAACCGCTTAGTCAAAAGCTGAATTAAGCACACCGCTTGCTCATAAAAACTGACCACAGTGGCGGCTAAATCAACGCCGTTGAAATCCCGAACACAATAAAACCATAAAAACTATACTGGTTTCCCTGTGTAAAGAAAGGCTGTATCTGGGCGGTCTGTTTTATGCACAATTTTACAAGATGCTTACAAGACCTTAGGTACACTGTACTTTTCGGATACCTTTTGGACAGGGTAGGAAACGAACACCCCTACTAACAATACACCAATCTCGGAGAAATTTCACATATCTTTTCTTTCAAGTGTATTAAAAAATAAATTCGAAATGCTTTTATACGCAAACATTAAGCATCGATACGCTAATGCTTATAAAACTACAATTCTTACTAGGCAGTGGGCTGCATGTAACGCGGAAAAAAACATCGAGTATTTCATAGTGAGCTTTTTAAAGAGTTGATTACCACTTGAAATTCGACCCCATTAACTATATGTTCGCGTCCGCGTTACCTACGATGTTAATTGCGTTAATGAGCCACGCTAAAAATGTTAACAGTCTCAGATTACTAATCACACATCGCTACTACAGATTTTTTTTTCTTTTCATAATGCTAAGTCCCATGAAGCAGTTTAAGTTTCAAGGAGCCTGATGCAAAAAAAATAAAGAATACTAATTTCATTTCATCGGTTACATTTAATAGAAGTCTTCGCGTCACCCCTAGTGAATGTAATGATGTATGGTTTTTACCAGTGGAAGTTCAAAATGTGCACGAGAGAGAGAGAGAGAGAGAGAGAGAATTTTGCAGTGTCTTCCACAGCGTTAGTAGAGGAGAAACGTGAGGAGAAACCAATTGACTACATGCTTTTCAAATAATTGCCATCCCTTCAAATGAAATGTTTAGTGCAGTTTGGCAGAAGTTCTGAGAAAGCACTGATGACCTCTATTCTTAAACACATGTGCATCTGAGGTTTGTTTTTGCCAGTTTGCACTAATGATGAGACCTACTTCGTGCCCGCTGCAAATAACAGATGACCAAAATAAATCAAGTAATACAGATATGTAATTAATTGTCTTAGATTAACATCGTCAGTTATTAAGAGTATAAGGGCCGTCTAGTATTTGTGTGAAAAATATGAATATTGCAGTCTTGAAAACGAGGTTCTTACGTGGATAAAACAAAACTTACGTCTGTCCTAACGAGCGGAGGTTGGAACCCTTTGGGTCGGTACGAGGCTCTCTGTGTTTTGTCCGTGTGGATGTCACCCAGGAACAGTTCCGTCTTCAGTCGTCGATGATGATGGCGCTGTTCAATGCGAATAAGTTGCAATTCATGTATACTGAAGTACAAAACACTAGTACAATCTCGGTCTAGCACCACTATGCCGTCTCCGCCTTCCGAGCCGACTTCAACATAGTTGTAAATGTCGTAAGGGCTGTAGGAACGCCATCTTGATTTCACCAATTCCGGGCAGGTGCTGTTGATCATTCTTTCCAAAACCATGGTTTGCCTCTCTTCGTAAGGCGTCAGGGTCACTTGAGAGAGTTGATAATCGACTTCAGCCGCCCCTGGTATCGTCCACGAGTCCCTAATGTTTTCTAATTTCCCGCGCGAGACCACGCTGTAGAGTGGGACGGAGCATGCTGGGTCGGCGTAGAAATACTGGTGAGCGGTGTAGCGGCTATCGTTCTGAAATTTGTAACTCCGCAGAAGAAATTCTGGTCCAGGTCGCACTTCGCATCTGAAAGATAATGATAATGATACAGGGTTAATAAATTGTATGACAAGTGTATATCAAAATTACTCGTGCATTAAAAAAGAAAAGAAATAAATAAATGAATAAATAAATAAATTAATTAATTAATAAATAATAACAGGAAGTCAGTTTGGAGCTCGATCCAACCCNATTCGTGGGATTCGTGGGATTCGTGGTCTGTGTGAAATAGGGGCATAACACAGCGGTGACCGGAGACATTTGGCCCGTCTTGTCAGTGCGCTGTAACGGGGAAACATACTACTGCATGTGTTTTCTGTGTTTTGAGTATGTGACGAGTTCTAAATGCGAACAAAAACAAGGGAAAACTTCGTTTAGCTGAATATTCTGTGATTACCAGAAAATTGATGCCGTATCCAGGTGTTTTCCTTCAAAGCAAAGCAGAAAATATTGCAACCCACCAAAAATGAAAACAAAAATTTTATCTTCGAAGAACATTGTGAATTAAAAAGCAAATGATCTTGAATACCGATGGCAAGCACAGTTTCCAGAATTCAAAATTGCTATATACGCCCTTTTGGTGAGTAAAATAGAATTTATAATATTTCTATCAGTTGTTTACAATTAATTGTGTAATACGAATCTCATACGAAAAGTTGTCATCCCTGTTCTCTGGACCTCGGGGCAAGACGACACCCAAATGTCACCTGGCAGGCCTGTCGCATCACACTGAGGGTGGTTGACAGCGACTCGTCATCTTATACATTTGCCCACCCTTAGCCTGTCTGGAAACCTTACCCATTGTATCTAGTTATATCAAGACTAGTGTTCTATTCATATTTAACACATGACTGGCTGACGTGAAAAAATGGATGACTCTGAATTTTTTATGTCCTTTTTTTATCTTAGACGGACAATTGGTCCATAGAAGACTTTCTTATAATCTTATATCTTGTGTTTACAGTTAACGGGATTTTGAAAAAAAGTGCAGATGAAAAGCTGCTTAATGGTGATCCCAGACAGTTTATAAAGGTAGGCCTGTCTTCTGTCGTTGCGTATAAATTCATAATATTAAACGGGTAGTTCATTGGGAATTTTTTAGCTTAAATCTCTTTCTTTTCAAATAATTTGCGCTAAGTCTTCCAAATGTTAAGTAGTGACATCCTTACTGTTTATCAAATATTGCCTTTCAATGCGACACTATTGGCGCATAGGACAAATCGTGTGTGTGTGTGTGTGTGTGTGTGTGTGTGTGTGAAGAAAAAAATAGCGATGGGGTTGGGCCTCTTAACCCTCCGCGCTAAACACCTACCCATACGACCCCGACCCCTCCGGCACCCTCAGACTACACAGGACAATACTGGATGACATAGCCCTACAGAACCACATAGTCATATCGAGGGCAAACCAGTCCCCCGAAACAATACACTCTTATAGGGCATTACGGGCCAATACAGTCTCACAAGGAAAGATACAGTCCTACAAGACAGTCGTCCAATATGGGACAACATGGTCCTATAGGACAAAACAATTCAATACAACACAATGCAGCACAAAAAGGGCAACACAGAAGAAACAATAAGTGCAAAAAACCCTATCATCTGCACATAATCATGGTTACAATAAAAATGAAATATAAATAATTTTAGTTTCAGTATCGTGTACCATTATGGTCATTTAGTGTCCTCTGAGAAAAATTGTCAATTAAATTCGCCATCGTCACTCACTGACTTGGAAAGTAATATACAGTGTAAGAGTTGTTCAGTTTTAAATACACGCATGGCATTCAGGATAAAAAAGTGGGAAATCGGGCTCATTATCGCGCGTAGACTAGTAAATGAAGCGAGCTGATAGGTTCACCGGTTAAATAACCATGTACCAAGGCCGGTTCACATCACAAATCAGAACGCTTTCTGTTACGTTCCATTCCTTTCCCCACTCCACCAGCCAGCTGCGACAAATGAACGGTCACAACGTGACCCGTGAATGAGTGAATGGATACCACACGTAGGTGGACTTCCACTGGGCTGGTTACCGTCTGATCACAACAAATTATATGTGACATCCAAAGATGCCCAACATTTCTCGTTCTGGCGTCGCCCGTGTGAACACACCCAGTGAATTCGCTGATTACCTTGACACCCCGTATCACACAAAACCCAATCGTATTCGGGGATAATGCGGTTAGAAAAAGTCCTTGGCAATTTTGTAGCATGGAACTATTAGCGCGTGATCTCGAGGGGAGCATTAAGACTCGGCTCTCTGACGACTGTTACAGTAACACCCATTAATCACGCACTTGTTAAGCATCGATTCTGTCTCAGTATCCAGTCTCCCCCGCCCCTTGGTCTTTAACCGCGGCCCCGGAGTCCGCATTCGATAAAATCGTGGTGTTGTGAAAAGAAAAAGCTGGGCAAGCCGAGTGTCTACGAAGTGTGGGTAATGTTCGCCGGAGTGTGGACGTGTCACCTCGACTCAGCTGGCCACAGTGTCGTGCAGGAAGCCACTTCAACAAATTGCATTAGATTTTAGCGTTTTGTTTTCACCTTGTACCATGTGTGAAGCTTTAGACGCAAACTATGGTAACATTCCTCGACGGGGCATGAAGTGATTTGAGCAAAGTACCCCCTTCCGTTCCCCTTGAAAACGTAAACTTTTTTAAAGACCTATTGCTGTTGAACATACCGGAGTTAAAAGCAAAATCAACTTGTCGGAATTATTGCGGAAGTGGACGTCATCTGTTTCATAGAAATAGGACGGTAGAAATCTGGGAAATGACAGGTACTCCTGAAGTAGTATGTCTAGGAATGTGGCTGGGAGAGAAAATTCCTTGAAAATCAGGAAATCTCAATATCAGAACATTATACACAGCTTGTGAGTGTAAGACAAGGAAAGAAAAGAGCTTTTAATCTTATGAAATCACTGCGCTGCAATTTTTGTTTCTCACAACACAACTTGGCGCACTCAAAGAAAGGGTTTGTTCTTGGATGGCTTTGATATTCTCCTTTAAAAATTAATTAACGTCGTTTAATTACAGAAATGATAAATCAGAATCGGCATTTTCCCCACAGCTTGTAAAAGTCAGTGTCGCAAGTCCAATACCTTTGATCTCTACAACCTCTAATTCTTGCTGTGTTATTTCAAATCACAGTCAATTAATGCGACTTTTATATTTTCCACATCCCCGACTAAATATATCTATCATCTTGCGGTTATTGCTACTTTATAGTTATATATGATAACGACGCCAGTTTATCACCCAGGACTATAACTTCTATCGAAAATATTAGGGTGCCGTACAAAGAACTACCCTCCATGACAGCGGTCAGTGTCGACTAGTAAGCACACACGCTCGCTCACACACACACACACAAACACACACACACACACACACACACACGCAAATAAAGAATTTTAGTGCCATGTTTATAATCCCCACTGATCTTTGGCACACAAACATACTATCAAATCACACATTTTCTTCATTAAACTCTTGGAAGAAATAGACACACATACAATTGCATAATATGTGATATTGTACCATTATGTATCAAGGGTGATATTTAAGGAACACATGGAGGATACAGTGTGAACCAAACAGGAGGTGCAGTATTTCTGTGATTTTTCCGACTCATTTGGTACGTTTACCTTGTACGAAGGTGAATGAACCACGTCTTCATTGTACTTATCAACTTTGACATTTAAATAAAGTCGCCTTTTAAAACAAGTGTTACCATAGAGATCGGAAATTAATTTGACCAGTGTAAGTTCCACAGAGTTGCAATTGCATAACATGTTAAATTAAACAAAGCGACTCTGGCTTTCAGTCGCCATATCGCCAAACAAAACACACAATAAGTGATAATTATAAAACACAAGCTGAAACTTTTTCATACCGTTAGCTTACGGCCAACTTAAACGTACATGTAGGCCTTTATCAGAATGATGTAAGCAGATATTGTTACTCACTGCCCACTAGCTGGTTTAGTGACCAGCATCCTCTTATATATATATATATATATATATATATATATATATATATGTCAGGTTGCTCGACCCTCCCCTACCCCGTCTTTATGCATGGGACTAGGGAAAATATTTCAGCTTGTGTTTTATAATTATATCATATATGGTCCAACTACCAAGCTAATGACCATTTTTTGCTCGAAACACACAATACATTTGTTGTCCTCAAAATGTAGTTTTGGCGTGTCATAACTGTTTTCTTCATCCACAAAGGGGTAATAATATTGTCAACGAATATAACTTTGGAACAGTCCTGAAAAATCCCAAGCGAATACCCGAGTGCTTGAGGTGGGAAACGGTTGAATGAGTCTGTCAGAGTGACTTACAACCGCCATACCTCGTAATAAACCGCTGAATCCTTTGAAAACGTCAGAAGAATCTCATTTACGTTTCTTATTGACAGAGTCGTCATCCTAAATTACGTGTCTGTGGTAGTAATCAAACGGTCGAATGCTCTGGTTACGCAAAATATTTTATTGGAGATGAATGAGGTGACTGGTTATGACTGAAAATCGTTACGGACGGTCGCATGGCTTATCCCTTATCTGCCTTGGAGTAGAATCGGAGATTGGGAAAACGTGGTGATATAATTCAGATGGCTTATACGTATATGAGTCACGGTTATTGTCCTTTCGTCGGACTTATGAACTTATTGTGGGACCTTGTACACTCCTCTCCTCTCCACTTTCTCCTTTTTCTCTTTCATTCTCTCTTGCACAAATCGCATCTCAGCACCACCAACAAAATAATCTACAGAGTACATTTTCAGAATATTCTGGGCCTCCTTCTATCGGGCAGTATTACGCGTGAATGTTACTGGCAGGTTTAACATGGAATGCAACGCGTTTTTAATAGACCCGTGCAATCGTCCTTGTCGATCACACTCGTTATCGAGGACATTTTTACTTTCACCTTAAAGCATAAGGTCGCATGCAGAATACATCTGAAAATGTGTAGACACCGTTTCCTTTCCCGTGGCCCAAGACACAATCCATTCAGTCCTCACTGGTTTTTTCAAAAGGGAACTACTTTCGAATCAAGCGTGTATTATTTCCCCCCTGTCACTAGTTGGATGAAAGATTTCAAACGGAGAGCGTAACATTGACGTTTTTTTGTAAAATTCTTCTCATAACGCTAGACTGGTTAACTCTCTTGATGTTCGTGCCCGTTCTTTTCATTCCACACTTTCCACCGAAACGACTTTATGCTAATGGTGCTAGATTACACTGACGTCACAGACAGGCACTTTCTGGCGCTGACGTCACAAATCAGCTCGCTCTTGCGATATCCTCTATCATTGCGACAGTTAGTGAGAATGATTGTCTAGTGTTTCTTTAGCTCGCTATTACGCAGTTTTATTTCACCAAAACTTTGTGTGAACAGATAATTTATCTCAAATACCTTAAGTCTTTTTAAATAGTAGTCTGTAAACGTATTAGATTGCCAGAAAAAAGGATAATTCAAGCACGACGGGCTATCTCCAATTAAAAGTTGCTTTAGTCGTCCTTGACGACCAGTCGTAAAGAGGGCAGGCGAGCGCAATAGATCTGTTGTACATCGATCTAAATCAAGCAACAAATACGAAAGTCAGTGTTGGGGGTTGAAAAAAGGGCGTTTTCGATTACGTGTTTCCGTGGCGAACACATTACCGTGAGCAATAAACTCAGTGAAGTCTTTGGGTGACCTGAACTTAGTTCTCTGCCAGGTGCTCTACAAAATCTGAGTCAACTGTATTGAAAATCAGAATGGAGCAGGTGTGTGAATTAAGGAATATAATGCCGTAATACTTCGAGCTAATTCCTCGTATCTTCTCTGCTAGTTTAACAGAACATGATTAGATTAGCTATTTCCACTGGCAAACGAACAATGGCCACTTTTAGGGAGATCGCCATGTTTGATTTATAATTTACAAGCGGCGGGCCGGCGTAATGATAGCCCGGCTTATTACGTCATAATACACTGATTAAATCCGAAATTCGAATCCCAATCGGGAAGCCACTCATAAAATGTTGCTCTTTACTTCAAGGGTGGAATGTTTGTGCCATTAAAACTCGCATCCCGCTGTGAAAACCTGCGGCAATTAGCCCCGGAGTGCTTCAGGATATGAATTGCCTTTGGACTCGGAATATAGCCCCGTTGCGAGTTTGGCATTAATTTGCTGGGGGCCAATGAAAGGTTCAGCAGCTAAGATTATTGAGTGTTAATGATGCTGGGAATTAACATCGTTACAAATTTTCTCCGCTGCTGAATCGGAAAGTAGTGGACTTGGCTTAAAACGTCTTCCAAAGAATAGGCCTGAAATCTAAATCTATTTTATTATTTATCGCCGTCAATCCCATATTGCATTTGCACAATATTGTTAGCGTACTTTAAGATACATATAATGTCTATACGTGTATTACTTATTTATGATTTTTGAAGCACAAAATGTGTATTGCATTTTGACTATAGAATACCATAATTAATTATTTTTCTTCAGCCCGTTGGAAAAGTAGGAGTAAATCGGTAGAATTAGACGGTGAACTCGGGGCGGTTGTCCTTAATATCCCGTTTGTCAAGTTAGAAAAACAACTAGAGAAACAAATCGTGCGGAGTAACACCTCTTCTTTGTAGATACTGAAGTATAACACCAAGTACTGACATTTACTGAAATTCGTTCATTAAGTAAAAAAAAAATTATGACAAATTGCCAAGAAGCGATACCGAAAATCCCGTCGACATTTCGCCCAAAGAGACTGCTCGTCTGATACGTATTAATTTATCTGTAGTCCTGCGTGTCTTCAAATGGCGTGTCACGTCCTTGTTTTTTTAAGAAAAACAAGGTTTCTTCCCTGACATAAGAATAATATTTCTGTGAAGAAAAAATACAAGGAATTTTGGCATGTTGCCGTGCACTTGTCCTAAGCAATTTGAGTAAAATATTGACTTAAAAACATATATTCGTAGGGCTTCTCTAAGTTAAGAGCTGGAAAAATTAATGAAAAGAGGTACAGGAAATATTGTCAAAGAGGCCAAGATATTTTTATCGTCGCACAAATTTCACGAACTTTTGCTTAAACTGACAAATTGACTTAGCCCATGCTAGTCTAACAACGTTAAGCACCAGTGAATGGAGGCTCTTCACGCATTATTAACTTTTCAAAGCGAATTTCCTCTTTGGTTTGAGGATCTCTTCGGTGAAACGGCACTAATAGGTTAGCAATTAGTAATCTATTTATCAAATAAACGACTTTGCGTAGTTCCAGGGTTAAGCAAGTGTGTGCTGGTATGTAAATATGCATGCATGCACGGACGCGTGGACGCAAGTATGTATGAATACGTGTCCGTTCGTGGGTGTGGGCCCGTGTGTATGCACGCGCTCTAACTCACGCGCTCTAACTCTGTGCATATACTTGCTAATGAACCTAGCGTCCAGGGTGAAATGCCTTCGTACGGCGTGCAGTCCCCCGTTGGACGAACATTTCAGATTTGTTGCTAAATCTTTTATTCTTTTTTATTATTTTATTTTATTTTTTTTTTCAAATCCGTGAACTGAAATCTGGTAGGGAACAAGGACAGAGCGAGGAGAGCAATTTGGAGACAGGTGTTTCTCCGCAATTGGAAGGCGCTATATGGACACTTTTAGTACACGGTACTTCAAGCGTATCCTGGCACTTACGTTACCAGTTAAAAGAAGGGTTCTCTTCCATGAATAACATTCCGTATCGCTTTTAAACATGTTTGCCATGTACTTTCCACATAACCCTGGTTATCACATTTAGTTATCCACTTCTCGCCATGTTTACGTGTCTAATGGAATTCCAAAGTTGGGTCAGACACTTGGGGTGAGCAATAATTATAAGTGAACTGGAGAAGCCAACTAAAACAAACATACATACTGTTGCAAGAAATTTCGTAGTTTCAAAGGTCGTTCTGAAGACACCTGCGTCTGATTTTAACCTGAGTGTATACTTGTCTTGTGCAGCCTGCATGTGCCCTTGTACATACCTCTCTCTCTCTCTCTCTCTCTCTCTCTCTCACACACACACACACACACACACACACACACACACAGAGAGAGAGAGTTTAAAGAAAAAGCGGAATCGCAAGAGTATCAAATACCAAAGCCAACAGCACAAGGACACACGTCAAGTGTTTGTGTTTATTCTCTCACCTCTCAGACACCCACTGCCCGGTGATTTTGTTCAGGGACTGGACAACCACGCGTTCCCGGCTAGCGTGTTCCGCCAGACTGCGACAAGTGCTCGTGACGTGCTTGACTTGGGTGCCAGACGAACTCCCTTGCACCAAGACTACTGAAACAAGAAAATATTATTCACTAGGAAATTTCATGTTGAAATTCAAAGTAATATAATACAGTCACTGACTTACCAAGCGTTGATGACTATCGAATAATGAAAATGAATAAATAAAACTATTGTTTCCAAACTTCTATAACTGTATGTTGAACTAGTGAAAGAGTAAAACTGACAAAACAAATTGTGCGGAATGCAAGTAGATATATTGTAGAAACAACACAATCATGAAATAATTTTTCTTGTAACCTTCTTATTCCTGACGTACCAGTCCGCTTAATCGTTTTAGAAAGGGGTGATTTATGAAAATAGTATTTTCTCAAGTGTGTTTCATCAAAGCTGATGACATGTCTAGCTGGTAATTGATTTTGCAATTATTATCAAAATATGATCACGTTTGAAGAGAGAAGCGCTCGACCATATGTCTTCTTATTCTTATATTGGGCTCGTGATTAATGAATGGAGCGATGCACAGAAGGTGATCTCTCTCTCTCTCTCTCTCTCTCTTTAAACAAAATGTATTACACGTTACATATGATTTGCATGCAGTACCCATACAGTCCACTGGGAGAATACTGCAAACCCTATATCTCTGCTGGCAGTTGAAGCTTATAACGATTTTCAGTCGGTTGGATAGAAATGCATCGTTGCCAAAACGTAAAATTTTCCTAGTGCACTACAAAGCTGAGAAAGAGACTTCGCATCCTTGTTAACCCCGAAAAACTATTTTTTCGAGCTCTCATCGATTGTTGGCAGGGAAACCAAGCAATAAAGTACTCGCAATTACAACCACTTGAACAGAGCAATCAGAGAAACCGGGGAAATAATTCGTTAGACCCTCCCATGCTTTGAGTTACTTTCGTCCTTTTCAGGGCCACTTGGTCCCCTCGTCTATGCCCAGGAATAGGGTTTCTAGGCAAACTCGAATACATGTATTTCCTCCCCATTTGACTCAATTTGGTCGGATAACAAGACTCTAATTGCTGTATACAAATCAGAATCGACACAAATAACAAGGCATGTGTTTGATTAGCAGGCTCCACGATACATACAGTACAGCCGTCGTCTTATTAGCACCGGTAGAATACGATGTTACCCGCAAGAACTTGAGTGATACAAAATTCAATTAGTAGGCGCGCATCTCTTCTTTCAATTCACTAACATTTGCGGATGGAGCTCAAGGGGTGGTCCCCCCGACCGAAAAGAAAAGATTGCTTTAATGATGTTTGAATACAGGTACATGAAAATTCCGGCAGCCTGGTTCTAGCTGTTTTTTTTTTCACAGACCGCCATGTGTTGAAGTTAACTGTGCCTCTCAAGCTATTCGTACATAGCTGTCTTGCCATACGTCTGTTATTCTGGGTACTTTCAGGAATTGAACTCCACGTTTTGTTAGAAAATCGGGTATTCTGGAGAAGCTATTTTTTCTGGCAAACATTACACACACACACGCGCGCGCACAAAAACATATAAAGAGAGAGACAGAGATACTCAAGTTTTACAAAAGGCCATATTCGACCAAAAGAAAACCCTTTGCAAACGCTTCAACATGTAAATTGTCAGATGTTAATATGTTGGCAAATTATTGTCCTGGTAACATGAATAAATTCGTTCACTGAATCACAGGAACACGACATCTCGGCGCTGCTAATTCCGAGCACCACAATCAAACATGTTTACCATGAGCTTATTAGCAATCTCCTATCATTTGATACGAAGCGATTATTTGATACGTGCGGATTTCGAGCTGCTGTGTTCATGTATGTTTAATTTGCAGCAGCAGATCTGTTTTACATGCAAGATTTGGAAGGGAGTTCCCTGCTTTCAGAGAAACGTTATCTACCATAAATATTTACTGGGACAGAACTTCGAATGTCGGATAACAATTGTATCAAATAGCGTTATCAAAATGCAATAGTATCATTCATGTTGTATTATAGGGGTTTGATGTTTTAGTTTAAATCAACAGAGAGAGAGAGAGAGAGAGAGAGAGAGAGGGGTGGGGGAGAAGATAGAGAATACAGTATCCACTAAAACATGTACAACCAGCAGGATATGAAAAAGCCATCTATAAATTTGCTGTACATTTCCTATTTCTCGAATTACACATATTACACATTACGTACATCAGAGCTATTATTTCGTTGTCGCCCATAAACACTTTTAACGACACGCA